ACTTTCACTTTTCACTTTCATGCACTGGAGAAGGAAATGGCAACCCACTCCAGTATTCTTGCCTGGAGAGTCCCAGGGATGGGAGCCTGGTGGGCTACCATCTATGGGGTCACACAGAGTCGGACACGACTGACGTGACTTAGCAGCAGCAGACTTAAGCCAAATACTCCTTACTGTGTTTATCTCAATTATTAAGGTCCCAAGGGTAACCCTCCCTCCCCTGCCCCATGTCTTTGGAAGAATTATTTACAACAAATGAGAGAGAACATCGCTTGATCCACAGGTTAAAGTGTTGGCAATACTTATTACTATTAGGAGTGAGCTTATGTGCTTAAATCTTGCCGGGTTCAGCATAAACACTGACAGTGATAAGTTAGGCTGATGAAAACCAATCAATACCATCTCCACACTTCACTTCTGTACTGCTTCACAGGATTACAGGTGATTAACTACAGGAGAATATGTCAGGAGTAAAAATTAGTGTTATCTGTGGCCCATGTTTATTGGTTATTTAATCCTTATAAGTCAGATTATTTTGACTTAATGTGATTCTAAATTACATTACAGCCACCCAAACCGGAACCCAAATATTCATTAAGATGTAAAGCTCCAATATCCATGATGAATGAATTGTAACTTAGATTTATCCTTTGTTGTACGTTAACTGTATCACCAACATTAAAAGTTTGTATAATTTAAAATACGAGATAAAAATTTCTTCATCTTAGGTGACCAAAGTCTCTGGCTGAAGGTAAGCTCAGGCTTCAGTATACCTTGTTTTACATGCCAAGTGAGTCTGGAGAGTGATCTTACAGTGTGGTCAGGGATCTGTGAAATATCTGGGCAACGGAAAAAACAAAAAGCAAAACCCCTACTCTCACTACCAAATTACCCACGTACACTCACACGAACAGCCAACCCACTTGCAGAGACACATTTCTGGGAGTTCCGGCGGAGGCAGGGCTCGCTGGCACAGGAGAACTGATCTGTTGTAGCTTGTCTCACAGGAGGTTCTGTGGGACACTCAGCCGTGCTGAGAGATGCTCTCCTGGAAGAGCGCTCTGAGGACGGAGGAGTTTGCCCATATCCCATTCCTCCCTGGACATTCCCTATGCTTGTTGGATTATTACAGCCACTGAGACTTTCTCCAGTGAAGCCCAATGACCCGTTTCTGCTTCTCCAGTATTTTCCAACATTGTGGGACCATGGGCTTCTTCCGCTCTCCCAATACATTTATTCACATCGAATGGAATTTGTTTCTTGGAACACACTTTAAGAAGTGCTGATCCTTGGAGTGTAAAAAGGCCATGCTATGGAAGGAAGGAAGAATCTGCATAAACAAAAGAGAAGAAAACAGAGAGCCCAAACTCCCGACAGACTCTCGTGTCCTCTAGTGGCCATTGTACAGTAACCGTGAAATCCACCTGTCATGTGAATCATCTTAATGCCCTCAGGGTGGGGAAAGAACTGTATTTTAAGTGAGAAGTCGAGGATCCCATTCTCCCTTCCACAAATTGCCTTTGGATAATTAACTTCCCAATCTGAACCTCACTTTTCTCAATTATAAAATCAGAGTTTAAAGAAACGATCTTGATTATCCTTTCTAGGCCCAATTAGATGATTCTATCTCAACTAGTATAATGGGAGAAAAAGAGAAAATAGAATTTGCTTGACAAGAATTCTCCTTATGATCAACCTTTCTTCAATGCAAAATGAATGATGTATGAAGTAGAAATCCTAAAGCACAACCATATGTGGATAGGTGATGCTTAAACCTCATTATTCTGGCCATTTTGATTGGTGATGGAGAGTCACAGAAGGCAACCTGGGATAAACCTAGTTTTAATACTGTATTTGCTGTCATTAAACAGCTTTTTAAAAAAGAAGAACCCAAGGGAAAAAAAAAGAACAACCCAGAAACTTTCAGCAGCTATATCTTTAATTAAAGCCAAAGGGCAACTTGAAGATTAGTTCTTTTAATTAATTGTCCTTTGGGTCGGACAATCTGTCACTACACTATTCTTGGGTATTAAACAGTTTGCACTTCAAAAAAAAAAAAATCAAGATGTGGTTGAAACGACTGATTCAAATGAAGCTAATCTAAAAACATGGAGAAATACAATGGGGCAAATTATTATGCAAGAGTATCTATGTATTTTGCATATGCCAATATTTTTCCTTTAATAGAAAATAAAACTAGAGAAAAATTATAATTGCCAGAGAAGCTAAATCATTGATTTGATGCCACAAATCAGCTGACAGTTATTTTTCTATAATTCTTTGGCTCTGTAATTAAATAATAATTTAGACATTGAAGATTTAAAGATGCTTGCAAGTTGCACCCCAAATTATATGAAACAAGAAACTAAATTAGTCCTCAAATTGATACCAAATTATTGTGAAATGTATTTCCATATTGAATCAAATTATTTTTTTCAGAATCCATTTGCAGTGTGTGCATTCACTACACATTTGATGAGGAAAGTAGAAGTCCAGGTCTTAAAAATGGAAACTAATAATATAAACTTTTCCTCACTGCTACACGTGATTAGGCAAATCTGTCCTCTCATCACACTGGATCTAATATACAACAGTGGTGCTCAAGCATTGACTACACATTCAAATTGCCAGGGAAGGTTTTAAAAGCTTCCGATGCCCAGGTTGCACCCAAGACCAATCAAATATAACATTCTGGGGGTGGAACCTAGGTATCAATATTTTTATAAACTTCTCAAGAAATTCTCATGTGCAGCAAAATATGATAAGTGAAGCCATACAGCCCAAGCAATGAATTTCCAAGTAAACTGGATGTACCATTTTGGTTTAAAATTGGCAACATGGGGGCACATCTATTTCTATTTTTCAATTCTTCTTAGAAACCTTGTCAATAGAAATTGAAGCCACTCTTTTTAAACAAAGTGAAAAAAGTGGAAAATATATGACCTTGTGGTAGATAACTTTTGGAGCATCTGCTTGGTTCATCAGAAACTCCTTAACTGCCTTTCTCCACCATCCACAGAAGAGGGTTCTTGACTGCCACTGGACCAAAGTGGGCCAGCTGGAATCCCAAGTCTGGGACAGTTGAATCGAAATTGCAAGTTAATATTTCTGTGTGGTTGGATGCATAGGCTGTGGTTCATTAAGTGTTCCCATGGGTGGACTGAATTGCTGAGAAAATTTTGGATAGAGAACAGAGAAGAGATGGGCAAAATGGATGAGAGGTGAGCCGCTGAGACATTTCAATTTTTAATTTATTTTGAATGTCATTTTTAAAAAAAGACAATCTTTGTAAGAGCAAATTTTTAACAAAATTGAGAGGAAGGTTAAGTGATTTCCCATATATCCCCTACCCCTATGCATATGTAGTTTCCCCCATTATCAACATCACTCACCAGAATGGTGCTTTTGATTTTAACCAAGGGTGAGCCTAAAATGACATATAATAATCCAAAGTCCACAGCATTATGGCTCACTCTTGGTATTGGACATTTTCTGGATTTGACCAAGTGTACAGTGATATATACCTATCATTATAGTGTCATACAGAGTAGTTTCACCGCCCTGAACATTTCTCTGCTCTCTATTCATAACCAAGAAACAAAATTTTTAGACATCTGCCGCTTTTGCCTGCTTGGTGTCCCTCTCCAATTCTTAACAGGGCCCTCTTCTGTGGGGACAACCTAGCTTGCATTCCAGGTGGTCCTGGGGAAAACTGACAAGTCAGCTGAGAGACTCAAGGCAGAAAGAGGTGGCACTGTCATCCCGGTGACCATCATCGAGAGAAACTGTTAGTTCCTACTATAGGATTCCCAGAGCTTTCTGATTCCTGTGCCTCCTGTAGTCTGACTGTTCAACAAGTCTTTGGATTCTGGGATCAAGGGTATCTGTTGCTTGCAGTTCAAGAACCCCAAAAGTTTTCTAGGTCCTAGCCTGGATCCACTCAGAGGCCTTGCAACATTCTGTTAGAGGCTCATGAGGCACTCTTGTATTCTTAATTACTTTTAGCTCATGAGTTTTCAATATTTTCAACTTCACGTCTCAACTAGTATGGAATTTTGATTGACTCTTCTATTTATATGGATGATCCCGATACTCATGAAAGCAGTAAAAAGGCTTTCCAAGTTCTGCTCCAATCTTCAAGGTCACAACCAACTCTTTTTATCATTCTGCATGTTTTCTGAAGCTGTAGTTAATTTTGGTATTTTGTAAGTATGAAGATTTTGAAGAAAGATTCAAAACAAAGGTATTCTTTGTGAATTAATAAAAGTTTACCTAATACCAACATGGTTCTAAATAATCTATAATCCTTTGAACAGGAGCCCAAATCTACTCCTGAAAAAAAAAGAGCTCTATTTCCTTTATCAAGCAACATTAAATGAAATTATAGTATTGCCATTAAATCCAACTGTACACCAATACTTTTTCATTTCCAATGGTACTATTATAAAATTTTTATTAAATAACAAAATATGCCTAATAAGCTAATACAATAAGTATTTCTTTGAACTCAGTATTTATATATTTGGCACACAATTCAAGGCTAGTCTACTCAAATTCAGGAAGCATGTGATTTTTTTTCCTTGTGATGGAATGAGCAGAGTTGCAATGGCATAGACTTAAAGATCAAAGGAAGTCTCCTCCATTTCTCCAGGTCCAAGTCACAGAAGTGGTAAGGTATGTAGAGTGTTCAAATGGGTGGCTTCTTACTAAATATGGATCCATAGAGCTAGATTTGGATCATGTTATAAGAATTTGTAGATAATTTTTTTTAAAAGCACAGAGCTAAGAAGCTGAAGTTATTAACAATGTTATGATCTTTGGCAAACTATGGATGAACTATAATGAAATGGAAATTGTGGGGCCAGTGCCAATAAAATGTGATCATAGTCTGATTAATTCACAGTAATTCCTTTTCTAGAAGTCTAAGGAAAAGTAAATACCATCTAGGAATATTCTGGCAAAGAAAGTGGGTTAAATAAAAAGAAGCAGTTTAAAAGGCATTCTTCTGACCATCATATTTTATTTTTAATACAAATAGGTAATAAAAGAAAAGGCATCTTTTAAACAAGAATACATTTTCTGTGTATCAAGCCATCATTTACACATTAACACTGCAAAAATTTGAATAACTCAATTAATTTACATAAAAGTATATGAAGTAAACAGAATTATATATAGGATGAGAACCAACAAATAAGAAACAATTCAAAGTCGTACAGTCTTGTCTCTGTATTAACTCCTTCACAGTTCTAAAAAGTCACACCCATCTACATAAAGGATGTAGACAGTCCTAACATTGAACATTATGTACAAACTGACTTCATCTCTCTTAGTTCTTTCTGATCCCGTAGGCCTGCCAGAGCCAACTTAACAGAATCAGAGCTGCCATCCTGCTCCACCTGCGGCGGCCATCCTTGGCCCTGGAAGCAGGCCTTATAGCAACTCGTAGTACTTCCCAGTCTGGGGATCAAAGTAACAGTTCAAACATGGGTCATACAGCAGAGTCAGCACTTCCTCATCCTCTCCCGCACTCAGCTCCTCTGCACCTGTGGGGCGGGAAGCACATCACGTTAGCTGCTGGCCTGGCCGGGATCCTTAAGCTGCAACAGAGAACGGCAAGGCAGCAGGAATCACCATCTGTCCTGGAGGACCAGCCTTGTGTGGAGGGATGCCAACGCCGGGAGGCAGGAGCGCTGCGGATGTGACGGCTCCATACTTGCCGTGTAAGATAGAAGAAACGGTGATCGGAGGGGCCAGGTTCACTATCAAGCACAAGAAAAATGAGCGTGCAGAACTGGCAGGGAGGAGAAAGGACTAAGGAAGAGGGCCAAAGGACTAAAGAGTTACGCTATTAGGGCTGAACAGGATTCAAAATTTGATTATCTTTGATTATCGCAGCTCTAGCCTTCTTCATGGGCCAGAGCCGCAGAAATGCCAAACAGTGCAAATGAAGCGATCTAGTAAAGAGCTCAATCCCCATTCATACATCCTAAAAAGGCTACCACAGAAACATGAATTAAAACAACATTTAGAAACATAAGCTATGCAAAGCAAAGAACACATGAGGAAAACAATGTCAGATGATCTGTAATTGTATTAGTCGTAGCAAGATGTGTCAAATTTGCTGGGAAAATGAACACGTCAAATTTTTTCCCCTGTGATAATTATTTGGATGATTTGGTTGTAGAGAATGCCTACTGCCTAGTCATTAGCAAGGTTTGGTTGGTTTTCAACAAATTAAAAAAAAAAACCAAAAAGCTGTTTTACTAAATGTTACCTGGGCACCTTATATGTGCCCAGTGCTATGCTCAGCACTTGTGTACCTTATGCCATCAACAGCAAGCGAGTGCCCTCTGGACTTCTCAAAATACACAGGATAGGAATTCAGAGGCTGGGAGAGCAAGACCTCCCTCAGCTGGAGACTCCCAGAGCAGGCTCAGGAAGGAGGAGGTGATGAAGACACTAGCCCTCTCTTTTTCCTTAGCATGGGCTACTACGGACCAAAGAAAACCAAACCTTTGGTCTGCAAGCTCACCAGGTCAGCTTTGGATAAGGCTTGGATGGTGGGCATGGGCAGGGCTGGCACGTAATACAGACTCCGTAAATACTGAGCCCTTTTTGAAAGGGTGAATCAGTGACTGTGAAACAAAATCTGTGGTTTTAAGTGTCACTGTCCATGAAACCAAGGTGGCTACTAAAGATTAATGAAGAGTTAACTGGGTGTGGCTAAGAGCAGCCCTGGGCTCTGGAATCCAAGGAACCTGGGGATGGATGGGAGAGTGCTGTTCACCACCCGAATGCCCTTCAGCTCAGTTCAGTTCAGTCTCTCAGTAGTGTCCGACTCTTTGCGACCCCATGAACGCAGCACGCCAGTCCTCCCTGTCTATCACCAACTCCCAGAGTCTGCCCAAACCCATGTCCATGGAGTCGGTGATGCCATCCAAACATCTCATCCTCTGTCATCCCCTTCTCCTCCTGCCTTCAATCTTTCCCAGCATCAGGGTCTTTTCCAATATCAGCTCTTCACATCAGGTGGCCAAAGTATTGGAGTTTCAGCTTCAACATCAGTCCTTCCAATGAATATTCAGGACTGATTTCCTTTAGGATGGACTGGTTGGACCTTCTTGCAGTCCAAGGGACTCTCAAGAGTCTTCTCCAACACCACAGTTCAAAAGCATCAATNCAGTTTATTGTGATCCACATAGTCAAAGGCTTTGGCATAGTCAATAAAGCAGAAATAGATGTTTTTCTGGAACTCTCTTGCTTTTTTGATGATCCAGCGGATGTTGGCAATTTGATCTCTGGTTTCTCTGCCTTTTCTAAAACCAGCTTGAACATCTGGAAGTTCACAGTTCACATATTGCTGAAACCTGGCTTGGAGAATTTTAAGCATTACTTTACAAGTGTAATTTGATTTAGGTCATACCTGAATGTGCCCTTCAGCTGGTGACAGGTTATTTTACCTCACTGAACCTTCCTTTGCTCATTTATAAAATGGGAATAACTCTATTTCACAGTTTTGTGGGTGAAGTTGGATGCTGGATAATATGCATACCAAAAACAAAGTAGTTGTTCAATAAAAGATCACTACTATTAAGGATAGTAATAAATGCAATAAATCATAAACTACAGGCTATAGAGTTCTAAATAACAGAGAACAGCATCGATAAAGCTTAAATATAAAGGAAAGGCTTCACAGAGACAGGCAGCATGACATTTAGACAATGAAGTCAGGCATGTCTGGGTCCAAATCCCATTTCTACCACTTCACAGTGGGGCACTGGGAAAATTCACTACTTAGCCTCAGTTTCCTCATATGTAAAGTAAGGATAGTAACAGTGCCTGTTATAGTACCTGTGAGAACTAAATAACACTTGGCACACACACAATTAGAATGATTAGGGAAAATCTAAGACATGAGAGGGATGTGTTCATTTATAGCTCAACTCCCTACCCCTAAGCTGTATCTATTTGACTTTTACTACTAAAGGAAAAAAAAAAAGTTTGAATGAAACACAAACCCTCCTACTAGTTTTATGTGTGTGCTAGTCGCTCAGTCGTGTCTGACTCTTTGCGACCCCATGGACTGTAGCCTGCCAGGCTCCCCTGTTCATGGGATTCTCCAGGCAAGAATAGTGGAGTGGGTTGCCATGACTTCCTTCAGGGGATCTTCCTGATTCAGGAATTGAACCTGGGTCTCCAACATTGCAGGCAGATTCTTTACTATATGAGCCACCAGGGAAGCCCTACTAGTTTTATAGAGGATATTATAATCAATTCAGCTTTAAATAAAAAGCTCTTATACCAAAAATCATGTATTTTTCAAAGAATTAAAATAACATTCATTTTTTTCCATAGGTGTGATATTAAAACCACATATCACTGAGGTAAATAATTATAAGTCAAATTATCTCAAAGACCTGCCATCTGATGTCTTGTTTTTACTGCATCAAACGCTGAAAGGGAAAGTCTGACCTCTGGCACATAAGAGTTATACACTATGTAATTGTTTAGTGCATTCTGTGCTTGCAGTTTCCAAAAAGATAAAATTTTAAGCTGGTATTATCAAATTAGAAAACTCAAAACATTTTACAGTTAGTCAGGAATCTTTCAAGATGAAAATAACCGTCGTAATGGGCCATGCGTCTTTATCACCCAATTGCAAAGGGATCAAGGTGGATCCAATTCATTAGTAGAGATTTGGCTACATAATGCATACAAACTGAAGCAGTAACTGCTATATAAATGCATTTGTTCCAATACATATCACTATAGAACTGGCATTTCATGCATTATAACCATGGGTCTAAGAGGGGTTTTGTAGTTTTTAGTTCAAAAGCTTTCAGTTCAGTCACTTAGTCATATCCGACTCTTTGGGACCCCATGGACTGCAGCATGCCAGGCTTCCCTGTCCATCACCAACTCTGGAGTTTACTCAAACTCATGTCCATTGGGTCGGTGATGCCATCCAACCATCTCATCCTCTGTCGTCCCCTTCTCCTCTCGCCTTCAATCTTTCCCAGCATCAGGGTCTTTTCAAATCAGAGTCAGCTCTTTGCATCAGGTGGCCAAAGTATTAGAGTTTCAGCTTCAGCATCAGTCCTTCCAATGAATATTCAGGACTGATTTCCTTTAGGATGGGCTGGCTGGATTTCCTTGCAGTCCAAAGGACTCTCACAAGTCTTCTAACCACAGTTCAAAAGCATCAATTCTTTGGCACTTAGCTTTCTTTATGGTCCAACTCTCACGTCCATACATGACTACTGGAAAAACCATAGGTTTGACTAGATGGACTTTTGTTGGCAAAGTAATGTCTATGCTTTTTTATATGCTGTCTAGGTTGGTCATAGCTTCTTTTCCAAGGAGCAAGCATCTTTAAATTTCATGGCTGCAGTCGCCATCTGCAGTGATTTTTAGAGCCCCCCAAAATAAAGTGTCTCACTGTTTCCACTGTTTTCCCATCATTTGCAATGAAGTGATGGGACTAGATGCCATGATCTTAGTTTTCTGAATGTTGAGTTTTAAGCCAACAAAAGCTTTAAATGGGTGAACCTTAAAACTCTACCAACAATGACATTCATACAAAAATTGTGTGATATTATGTATATTTTTATTCTGAAATAAGTGTTTTAAACTTGCATAAAAGGTTTTGTTTTCATTATAACTTAATTTTCAAAGCCTCCAACTTATATCATTTTGCCATTGTAATCTCTGTGTAATGAAATTATCATATTGTTAAGCAATTACCAGTATGGTATCAAGCAATGGGAAATGTTTTGAAAGGTAATTATTGTGCATGGGTATAGGGTAATTTTCAATTATATTCTTGGATAGTGCACAGTTTGTTTTTCTCCCAAATGCTAAATTGCTCTATTTAAAGACTGGCTACAGAAACTCTAAATGGACAAATTAAGAAATAAAACCATTCTCTGCTACCAGACTAACAGCATCTGGACAGGGGTCCAAATTATGTTTTTACTCTTCTTCACATAATAAAGCCATTATTAGTGAACTAAAATTGCCTTTCAGATGATAATATATTTACAAACTTTCAGCTTCATCCACTTTGAAGTCGGTTAACAGCGAAAACAGAAGGAAAACCAACGGAGCCAGACCAAACACAGCAATATTAGCTGCCCTCCTCTTGGTTAGATCAATGTGAGCAAATAATTCCTCTAGCTCACTTTCTGAAAGTCAATTAATATAAATGCTTAATTATCTATATTTGAGGCATTTTAACTAGATAATAGAAAACCTATATGCAAAAGCTCAGTCTTCAAGCTTGAAAATAAATGATGTGGCACCAGTTTATCAGATTTAAAATCTCACAGTCAAGACATTATACTTGATTTTTGATTTTCTGACGCTGCCATCTAGAATTTTTTTTAAACAAGTTAATGCATTTTCTCTCTTATAGATCTCGAGAACTGATTGACTGTATTTTTATGTGCATACCAATACACTATGGTTTAGACAATTCAATGGCGGGTGATCACCACTGGGAACAGGTAACCTTAGGATCAATAAAGATGACATTTTAGATACG